CTGTGTGTGTGTGTTTGAAGTGTTCACCGTGTCTCTGTCTCTGTAGTAACTCTGTGTGTGTGTCTCCGTGTCTCTGCGTTCCTCTCTTCAAGGCCTTCACTGACAGAAACCTTCAGTGGGCGTCACTGATGCCGCAGGCATGGGAGCATGCTGCAAGCAGCAAGGGACTAAGCTATGTTATTTTATTTATAAAAGTAACCCCATAGCTTGCGAGGATGATGTCAGAATGAATAAGATGTTGCTTGGCCGTGTCTCTCAACCCAAGAGCATTCTCACTGTCTAGTCTCTCTCCGGATGTAGTAGGCTTAGAAGATAGCACCTTGGCCTTCATGTTCCATCGAGGCCTGCCTAGACGGCCTAAGTTCAGTTCGGCGCCGCCTGCTTCAAAATATATTCTGTGAGTGGGCCCAACTTTGTCATGTTTGACATGATTGCAACGACGCTGTACTCTAGGTGCCATGACTCGGGATGGGGCTATGGGGCCTCGTATTATTGCGTTTATAATTATAAGCCGCTGCATTTGGGAAACCAACGATTCTGCGACAAAGTTGCTGTCACGGCGTGCAACGTGTTTTTGCACTTCGACTGCAAACTGGCTCGCTTGAGCCTTTCCGCTTTCATTGCAAGATCCTCCCCAGGCTTGCCTGCAGTCAGCTCCTTGAGTGTTGGGTCCTGGGATTTCTCAAGCAGCAGAAGTGACACTCGCAATGCAGCGCGGATATGATGGACAACGCATGCAAGTCTTGGGGAAGGTCAACAGGAAGAGCACAGGGCAGACAATATAATATCCCACTTATCAATCCGAGAATCACCGCTCTTTCCTTGCGGGTCGATATATCCCATTTGAAGGCCGTGAAACAGAAGCAACAAGAACTGCAAGTGGACATCGGATGGGTTTTGAAGTCTTGAATGGAAGGCGTCATTCCAGCTGAACCATCTCGACGGTTGAACCTGAAGTCCCTTCCGGTGCAGTGTTGAGAAGTTGCCTTTGTCCAAATCGAGCTTCAGATCACTCAAGCTCACCTGCAAGCCAAATCTTTGGCTCCGCTCGTGGATGGCGGCAAGCAAGGGGTCGCTTCCGCCCTGGGCTGCCACCATGCCTTTGAACTCCCTCCAGCCTTCCTCAGTGGTCACGAACCACTTTTGGGAGTTCCACGGTCCGTCGTTGAGATTGAGCCAGATGCTGCACAAGCTCACGCACGCATACTTGCCAGAAGCCTTCAGCCCCCCCAAAATGGATTTCCACATGGCGTGGAAAGGGTCTTCCAGGCTCATCTTTCTCAACTTGAGGTGGTACAACTCGAATGAGTCCACACTCATTGGGATGCTGCCTTGATCGCTGCACTCAACAAGTGTCTTCCGGGATGACAGCGGCTTCTCCGAATCCTGACTGGCACTCTGTCTTGGAAAGGTTCTGCAAGGAGAACACAACTTGCTTACAAGAGCCCTTCATACATCCACAGGTCGCTATTCCGTGCTTTTGGAAAAAACCATCTCGCACATATATTGAAATATCACACATTACATCACATGACCTTGCACGACGGTTTCCTCATAGTACTGCTTTCTGTGTAGTTCAAGTAAATGCAACGAAGTGTCGCCCTCCTGGCATTGGTACACATCCAAACCGTGCCCAGTCAAGGCCACGAGAGCGTTGTTCTTTGAGATAAGCAGGTCATAGGCCGACACCCTGGCTGGAGGACGATGCCCTTTCTTTCGCTTTTTCTTCTCGGGCTCGTCTGCTTCCACTTCGGCTTCACGTGCCGTCTCTTGCTTCAAGTATTGACGTGCCTTCTGCAGGTAAGCATCCTTCTCCGATGGCAAGACTTTCTCTCCCGGGTTTTCCAGACGATACTGCGTGTCTCGCACCTCCTGCGCAGAATGGGGTGTACTGTACTTAGACTGACGTACTACTCACTGGGATTTTCTGTCTGTGTGTCTCCTATTTATATATATATATATATATGTACCTTCCCTCGATGAAGTCCACACAGCACAGGGACGGGACACTCTTCCAGCAAAAGGACAGCAGGTTCCAGCCCATTAGAGGGACAGGAAATGCTTCCAGCCCAGCCAACGCACAGCCAATGTGTCTGACCCGGGCTCAGGGACAGGACAGAACATGTTTCCAGCCAGCAAAGACATAAATGTTCCTCCACTGAACGGCTTTAGGGTTTCGGGGTTTCGACGCCACGGGCTGACTTGGAAGGACAAGCCCTTGAGAGCTATCTTCTTGTGCATCACCCGCCAGAAGAGAAAGCGTATCATGCTCTGCAGCCTTGACCCCTTAATCCTGCCATGATTTTACAGACATTTTCTATCGGCTTCTGCATGCACAACCCCAAGAGTGCCTCGCCGGCTTCTGTAAAATTGCAAGGAGCCCGAACGCCTATCCTCTTCAAGACCAGACAAGCCTGGCACCTCTTGGAATGAACACCTTTCAAGGTCCTAGCAAAACAAAAAGACACATATCTCTCAGTTTCGCATACACACTTCTGGGCTGAATACGCATACTGGAGAAGCAATCAGAACTGTCAGGACTTCACTTCACTTGCGCGATTCCTATTAATACAGTAGGAATAGCACTACTGTCACTTCAGGGGCTTTGTGCTGAACTTGGACGCAGGAATAGTTATGGAAGTGGCAACATAGCAACAGCTTAAGTCTTTAAGTGAAAACAAAGAAATTGAAATCATTCATACAACCTTGCCTGAGGAGGAGCCCAAGCTGTGATGCCGTTGCTGCTCATCGCGGCCATGTAGAGGCGGTTTTTTCCACCAACACGACTTTCGTCATCACATATGCTCAGGACATGGGTGTCATCAAACTCCCGTCGGCACCCCAAGAAGTACCGCAACAAATCCCGCCGATCTGCCATCATGCGTTCGTGCAGCTCAGCTTTGGTGCTCTTCTTCTTCTTCTTTGGCTCAAGCTGCTTTCTGTTTGCAAGAAACTTTCTTGCGGTGTGCAAGATATACCGCCTATCTGAGATGGATCGTCGCGGCTTCACACCTTTAGCTGGGTTGTCATCCTCTGCAAGAATTTCTTGC